TATTCTTTTATTCTTTGCATCCTTGATTACTACAACAACAACACATTTCGAAACGGATTTTTTAGGGAAATCGAAAACCGTGGGTTTATTACTCTTTCGGTACGTACATCACCACCCCCACCCCTACCGCCACCGCCACCGCCGCCAACATCATTCACCCCGGGAAATTTTTTTAAACGTTTACGCCTTTACCGTGGGTACCACATAACGATTTGGAAAATTTAGTAAATAAAATTTGAATTAATAGATAATGAATCATTGATAATTAAAAGAAGAAAATTTTGTAATAATAATAATAATATATCAAAAGAAAAGTCAAATCGTTTTGAAAAAAAAAAAAAAATTTATTGTTCGTGATCCAGGTTTTTTTTTCTTCTTCTTTCATTGTCAGAATCATCGATGAAATTTTAAGTATTTAAAAGAGTGAGAGAGAGAGAGAGAGAAAGAGAGATAGATAGAGAGAATAATAAGAAAAAGAAGACGTTGAACAAAGAATAAGACATGAAGAAAGAGAGAAACAATTCATTGAAGAGCAAGATGAATGCGCGGTAAATCGTTATGTCATATCGTTGGTGGTCGCATGAACATCTACTTTATGTTTCTGATCTTGTGCCGATTAAACACACTGTAAATTGTTAAGAAAAGATCTTCATCTTCTATTTCTTTCTTTCTTTCTTTCTTTTTTTTGTCATTTTCCCTCTTTTTTATATGTAACTTATTTTTACGGCTTTTTTTAAAAAAATTTGTTCGAGGTTGTTGTTGTTGTTCTTCTTTTTTTTATTTCGATAAGATCGTGTGTGTGTGTGTTTGATGTTTTTTTGGTGGGACCTTCACACCTTAAACTAATGATTATTTTAAAAAAAAAAAAAAGTAAGTTGGTCCCTTGTCTCACTGTTTAATATGCTTCTTATTTATTTACCTTTTTTTTTTCCTGATAACTTTATCGAAACCCTGTTCGATCGAGGCCTCACACACACACACACACATTACTCGGTTTTATTAAGAAGGAAAAAATGTCTGGTGTGGTCATCATCCATCGCCTCCCCCTCTCTCCCCTCCCTCCCCACCTCGACTCATTTTTTTTTAAACGGTTAAAATTATTGATTAATAATTTCGATATATATATATATATATATATATATATATTTAATAATTGACGAACGTGAGAAATAAAAAAAAAGTAAAAAAAGGTGCAACTAAGTTGATGTGATTAAGTTTGACACGGTGGGAACCCGCAATCCAACTGCGTCACAACAACAACAACAACCCATGTTCTTATTTTTTGTTGTTTGTTCGATCGCCGACATAAAAATAAGCTTCATAAAGCCGATTTGCTGAACATTATAAACAAAATGGCTCCCGCTAATGCTTAATGTAATCTTTAAACTTTCGAATTCGAACGACAACGACAACCACAACAATAAAAAACGAGATGATGATAACAAACAACAACAAACAACCATATGACAAATTTTTCTTTATATGATTTAAAAGTATATTTACTCTATGAAAATATAATCGTATGCGATACAATAACAAAAAAAAAAAAGGAAGAATATAAATTTTGTAAGAATAATTTTGTCGTTTGTTGTTTGTTGTAATAAAATTAAAAAGACACCCCTAATTTTAAAAGATAAATTAATTATTAGGATTCATATCGAGAACCTTTCATCAAAAAAGATTTAACCCCTAATTACCCCGTCAATTCCCGTTTCTTGTTTAATTCTTCCCCTTCTTCTTTTTTGTTATTCTTCCTTTTTTTTGTTTTTCCAGGGAAATTTTCTACGTTGTTTTTGTTGTTGTTGTTGTTGTTCTTTGATGTTAAATTAATATTTAAAATCCTTTTTTTTTTTTTTGTCAAATCCCCTCAAGGATTCAATCTCATTCAACTTTTTTAACTCGTTTTTTTAAAATGATATAAAGGCTAAAAATTGCGGCTGTTTTTCCTTTTTTATATCATCCCCTAAATTTAAAAAAAAAACCTTTTAATGTTTCTTTTTTTTTTTTTTTTTTAATAAAAGAGGAAGCTAAAAAATGTTCAAAAAGGTTCAAAAGGTTATTGTTAAAACGTTGTAACAATTTTCTCAAATAAAATTTCACCAGAATCGAAGGTATATTTATTTGTGAAAATGCGACGCCATTTTTAATTTTTTTTGGTTATTTTAAAACCGCCTCCCCCTCCTCCTCTTTTCCATACATACGAAAAAAATGTTAATGAAAGTATTAATTATTTTTTAATGATAAGAAGTGAAGGGGAAAAATATCATTTTAAGTATAATAACCTAATGTAACCTTTGACCCGGTTGAGGAAAAACAAAAGTTTTGTGACTTTCTTCTTCATCGCGGATTTAAAGGGGGAAAATGAGTAGAAAAAAAAAAAACAAAAATTTAATTATCCAAACGATCGAATAGTTTTTAAAAAAAAAAAAAAGGGTTCGAGTAATTAATTAAAAGAGTTAATAATAAATAAGGTAATAAAAGTTTTTTTGGGGATCTTAAATCACGACAAACGACCTACTAAACTTTTTTTTTGTTTGTCGTTGTGGTTGTTGTAATTAATGAGGTCGACAAAATTTAAAAAAAAAAATTCATTCATTGTTTTTATTCAGTAATAATAATAAAAGGATTCTTCGTTCGAACGCAAATTGAACCTTACGAGTTAGGGGAGGGGTGGGGCAAACCGGAAGTTATCATCATCATCGGAAAGGAATGACGTGTGAACAACGGCGAGCATAAAAAAAGCAGTTCAAAGTAATGAAGTCGAAAGGTGTAGTTTCCGGTCTTCGATGAAACTCGCGCGGTAAATAAAAACTTTTTTTGGAAATTTAAAAAATGAAAAAAAAAAAAAATGGCGGAAGTTAACACGATGATGATAATGATGATGATGATACCGGCGGGAAATTATAAACAAATAGAAAAGACATGCAAAACGAGTAAAAAACCACCCGGAATGGGGAGAAAAAAAAAGTTCCACGGTTTCATTTCTGTCCAAAAAAACATTACTAATAATAATGACAATGATAATGATGATGATAATGATGTTGATGATGATGATGATGATGATGATGATGATATCGTTTAAAAAATAATAGAATAAAAAATTTAAATTGAAAAAGTTTTTTATTCGTTTTGCCGAACAACGCGTCTCAACAAGATTTTTTTTTCCCCTACCTTCGCCCCTCTCCTTCGCAACCCTCTCCCCTACCTTCCCCCCATACGAAGAACGAGAAAATTGTTTATACCGACAACGCCAAGGTTTTCGAAACAAAAAGAAACACATTTAAATCTAAATTATGCATTAAAACGTGGCCCACACCCTCGATGGCAATATCTAGGGAGAAGAGTTGAAAGGTGAAACTGAGTTTCTGTCACCGGCTCAACGGGGGGGCGGGGGTCCTCCTTCGACACTCAAAAACAACTCGTTCTACTGCCCTCCTTTTTTTTTTTAATCTACGAACGTGTTTCATTCAATTATTATTATTATTATTACATCCGTATCGACGACGAAAACGTAAAAAAAAAAAAATTTGTAGATTTCGATACGGAGAAAAAAAAGGCGCGAAAGGCATTGGAAGGAAGGAAGGAAAAAGGAAGGGTGGTAAGGTACAAACGAAGGGTGGTAGAAAAATAATTTTCTTTTTTTTTTGATGTCATCAATTGTTGAATAGGTCGAAGTGAAAAGTTTTTTTGTTAGTTAATAAAAAATTTAAAAGAATGTCAGGAATTTTAGTTGATTGAACAGCCAGAGGGTAATTTTAGATTTTTTTTTTTTTACTCCATCAGCAGCTGACAGAGATTCCATATCTAAAAGTCCGTGACATGTTTCAAGCAGAAGACAAAAACGTTTTGATTTGATCTTTATTGACTCTTCGACACTGCAATATCCTCGAGAGAAAAAGAGAGAGAGAGAGAGAAAATCATTGATTAATGCATCACAAACCAGGTATTCATGTTCGCACCTTTGATTGTGTTATTCTATGGTTTCCATATTATTTAAACCGTTCAGATTCCACCACCGCCTCCACCACCACAACCACCACCATCACCATCACCACCACCATAAACATTTAAACTCTTTTAATAACTGACACCTTCGTTCGTTCGTTTTGTCTTCTTACCTGATTCTTCCTGGTTTTCTTTTTTTTTTCATTTGATTTTTAATTAAAAATTTATTTTGACGGTTTTATTTATTTATTTATTAATAAAAACAATTTTAAATAATAATTTTTATTACGTATACGCATATATAAATCAATAAATTTTTATTATTATTATTATTATTATTTGTTTATCGATCGGATTTTCGGTTCAATAAATTTTTTTTTTATTTGATTGCCATTGGAAGAATTTTATGAAAGGAAAACGTTTCTCGCGTTTCAACAATCAATTATATACTCTTGATCCCTTCACGTTTCTCTCTCTCTCTCTCTTTTTTTATTCTTTCATTCTGTCATACTTCTCTCTCTCTCTCTGTCTTTTTCTAGTCGTCGTCACTCACTCACTCACTCTGTTTGGTTCTTACGTTAATCAGCCGTAGTTGTTTTGTTATTTTCACGAGTGATGAAGCGAATGATATGTTTTGAATAATTGTCGTGTGTGGTCTGTGGTGTGTAGTATCCACCACCACCAACCAACCATCCATCCATACATCCAAACGATCTCTCTCTCTCTCTCTCTCATCGGTCCAGATTTTTCGCTCATGTGTTCTTTTTTTTTTTTACAATTGACGACCTCCCAACAAAAAGACATTTATTTTCAAAAGCACTTAATAAATATTAAACCAAAAGCCATACACGAGTTTTTTTTTTTTTTTAATCGTCGCCAGGTGTATTTTTATACTTTCGTATTAAAAAAAAAAAAAACTCCTGGAAATTTCCAGACGTACGCACACGCACGCACGCACACGCAAGCACACAATAGCCTTTTTTTAAATAATAAAAAAATTAATAATTAATCATTTTATTTTATAATAAAAAATACAAAATGGAGAATTTTTTTTTTCAGTCTTTTTTAAAAAAATTATCTGATGACGTCAATAAAAACGATGACGATGACGTACCTGGATTACAATTATCAGTTGTTATCGTCGTCGTCGTTGCAGATGATTCAGAAGAAGAAGAAACGACAAAATTATGCGTCAAACTATGACGTCTTAAATCGCAATTACGTCTAAATACTTTTCCACACATTGTACAATGATAAGGTTTTATATCAGTGTGGGTCAAAAGGTGAGTTTTTAAATTTGACCTTTGATTAAAGCTTCTGCTACAAACTGGACATTTGTGCGGAGATTCTTCCATGTGAAGGATTTTATGGACGGCTAAAGTTCTAGATTGGCAAAAACCTTTTCCGCATTCACCACATTTAAATGGTTTTTCTTTGCTGTGTATGTACCTGAAAGTAAAAAAAAAAATTCACGTCGGAATGAATGAATGAATGAATGAAAGGGACACGCGAACGAATTATTATTATTATTAACTCGCCATCGTGAAAACTTTTATAATAAACGCATCAACTTTTCGTCATTAAAAAAAAGATTATCACAGATACACGTACATATCTAATGGCCATTTTTTTTCCCCTTTAATAATAATAATGATGACGATGATAATGATGATAATAATAAAATCAATGAAACGCAATAAAATTACTACACACACACACACACTTATATAGGTGATAATTCATATTCGTGTCGAGAATTTTTTTTTTGTTTAGGCCCCTCTTTTGTCTTATTGCTTTGTTTGCTTTTTAACAAACTAGTCGTAGTTTGTTATAATAATAATAATAATAATAATAATAATAATAATAATAATAATAAAACCACGGTTTTTTCTTTTATTTTTTTTTTGGTATTAAAATAAGAAAAAAAAAGTTTTGGCAGGTAAATGTCAACCTAAAAAGAAAAAAAAAAGTGGTTTCTGATAAAATTTATTACGAAGATTCCGGTCCCCCACGCACACCACTCATCGTCGTCCGTTGTCGACGTCGTCGTCGTCGTCGTCAACGACCAGCAATCAAATATTATTAATGTCTTTTTTCGGTAAATTTTTATTTTATTTTATTTTATGTTGACACCTGGGATAACCTGTTGTCGTGTGTTGACTCTCTTAAGTGCTACAAAATGGCGGGTACAAAGTCCTTGTATGTGCGTGTGCGTGCGTGTGTGTGTGTTTTTATGTCGGACTGTCAAAAAATTTAATATTAATAATTAATTAAATTATTATCGGAGTTTTTGTTTTAAATCGATGGGGTTTAGTCCGCCGAACCGACCAAGTTTTTTGTTCTTTATACCTACCTATGATCTCTTAAATGATCCTGTCGTCTGAACGCTTTGTTACAAATGTCGCACGAATATGGCCTCTCATCCGTGTGAGTTCTTTCGTGTATTAATAAATTGTAAGATTTTGTAAATTGCCTATTACAATATTTACAAATAAATTGCCTCTTTGGTCTAGTCGTCGATGTCGCAGAAGAAGAAGAAGATACCGGAACGGGAGTAGACGTTGTTGTTGATGACGTCACAATTGGTATAACCGATGACGTTCGATTTTCCGAATCGTTCGTCGGATTATTAATTATTTGATCTTTTTTTTTTTCTTTAAAAAATTTCGTTATTCGTTCTAAGACGTTTTTAGATTGACACGTTTCACGTGATTCGTTTATTTTTGTCGATTTTATAGATTCTTCCGACGATGTTTGATCCTCATCATCCTCATCATCATCATCATCATCATCATTATTTGAACCATGTTGAGGTAAATTAGAATCTATCGGAGCCGTCGGATAATTATTTTCCGTTTCGTTTGTACCAACGGTTGTTGTTAATCTTCGAAGTGCGACGTAAGATTCTAAAGCTTGTAAATTTAAAGCTGTTGCTGCTGGACTTTTTGCCGGAAGTAATGCAGCTTGTTGAAGAGCAGTCACGATGGTGCTTTGCAAAGATATTGCTATACTTTGAAGAGATCTTTGTAAAAATGTTTCGTGTATACGAGATAAATTTGTCAAAGATGATGATGATGATGATGATGTTGATGATTGATATTGCTGTAGGGTATCATTTTGTTTTAATTTATCCGTCGAAGATGAAGGTTCGGAAGTGGTTGTTATAATATTAAAACAATTTTTTTTTTCTTCTTCTGATTTTTTTTCATCGTCGTCGTTATTATCAATGTTTGTTGAACTTCGCAACATTTTTTATCATCAACGCCATTCACTTATTTAAAAATAAAAAAAAATTTAAATATATATATTAATAAAAGAGATAAAGTTTTTCAAACACAAAAACTTTTTTTGTTGTTGTAACATATCAAATAATTTTTAAAACAAAAGAATTGACCTCAAATATACTCATTATTATTATTAATGTTTCTTTCCTGTTTATCCAGGAAAACAACATGCCGGAACACAAATAATAATAAAAAAAAAATTCCTTTTTAAACAAAAAAAAAATATATATAAAAATGTTTGTTCCTGAAAGTAAAATCAACAAACAGAAAATAACACTAAAAGCAAATGCAAACAACAAAACAACAAAGTCCGTTTGTTTTTCCTTTTTTCTTCTTCTTCTTTATTTTATTCCGCGATTAAAAACACAAAAATACACGTACACAATTTTTTCTTTTTTCAAAAACAAAAAACCACCACCACCACCATGATAATAATGATGATAAACACGCACAAGCACACTTTTTTTTAACAAACGAGGTTATAAACTCTATGACGATGAAGACAAACGGTTTTAAATTTCGTATCACTTCTTTACTCTCACCCTCCCCCCCTTCTGCGCTCCTTTCCACCCACCTATCACTCCCCCTCCTCCTCCTCCTCCTCGTCCGATCCTACTACTTTCCCCCCCCTCCGCGCGTTTTATTAAGGAAAGAAAGGAAAATTAACGAACGATATTATTATTATACCGGAAATCGTATTCGCGCACACCGTGTGAATAATCGAATTAAATATTAACAAAAAAATTAAAACGAGCGTAAAAGTGCAAAAGAAGAAGAAGAAGAAAAAGAAGAAGATGAAGATGAAGAGGAAGAACAAAAAAGAAGAAAAAGAAGAATAAAAAAAATACGAGACTTGCCGGAGATGTTGTGTGAGGGCCTCTCTAAATGTGTGGTGCGTGCACATGGACTCGCGTCACTCGGACAAATGGAGGACTGGAACCGGTTGCACGTGCCTGGGGACCACCAGATGTATTATACCTAAAAAAAAAAAAAAAAAAAACATCTTTTACCTCCGCGTCATTAATTTCAATTTTTTTTTTTTTTTTTTTTATAGATGTGTTGTTGTGTTATTACACAATAAAATTAAATCAATTATTATTATTATTATCACACCGTAAAAATGCAAAAAAATGAAAATTTTTTGTTATCAGTTTATTAATAATTTATCAATAGTAAATAATTGCTTTTTTTTTACAATAAAAAAATAAAAACTAAAAACTAATTTTTTTTTCAGGTACAAAAAAAAAAAGAAAATTTTTTTATTATGTCGCCGTCACGAATTCACCTTCGAGGAAATTTTTATAATAAACAAACATTATCATCCGGTGGTATTGGATAAAATAAATAATTTTTAAAACGTTTTATTATTATTATTATTAATATTAAATACTCATTATTAACAATTTAAATAAATATCAATAATATATTTGCAAATCACGCGTTAAAAATTATTATTATTATTATTATTATTACGATAAGTTTTAATAAATGGCGGTTGAATGATAAGCCAAAAAAAAAAAAATTTTTTTTTAACGTGGGAATAGAAAAAAAAATTATTTAAAAAAAAAAAAAATCGGTCAAACGAAAGTTAACACGAGTTTATTATTATTATTATTATTATTATTATTATTATTATTATTATTATTATTATTATTATTATTATTATTATTATTATTATTATGGTTTTTTTACGTTGTTATGTATTGAAAATAAATTTAAAAAAATTTTTTTTATGCGTTTTTGTGTCGGATTTTATACGTAAAAAAAATCATTCCTGGAATTGTATTATTGTATATTAATAATTTTTATGTTTTTTGAATTATGATGATAATGATGATGATGATAAGTTTTATCATTTATGGAAGATAAAAAAAAAAAAAAAATTTTAAATCGAATGGGGGGAGGGAAAAAAAAGTGTCAAAATGAGGATTCGAACCACCGTCTGCGGTTTTTTGTGGCGAGCGAGTTAACCGTTAGGCTAACTTCCGAAGAAGATTATCCCTGTGATATTATTACTTATTAATTTGGTACAATGATTGGGGAAAAAAAACGTGGTATAAATAAACAATTTTTTAATAAAAGTTTTTATTCCAGAGTAAAATGATGGGGAGAGAGAGAGGGGAAGAAGGGGGAAAAGGGAAAAACAAAATGCGGAATAAAAAAAGGTAGAAAAAAAAAAAACTTGTTTTTCTCAGATTATTCTCAGCTGGTAGCTTATTATTATTATTATTACTATTATTATTATTATTATATTGTAACTGAATGAAGATTGTAAATCATAAAAACGGATTCACTGGAATCCCAACAGGAGCCGAACCTTATCCAGTTGGAAACTTCCTCCTCCTCCTCATCCTCCTTCCCCCCTTCCTCTTATCCTGTCTTCTTCTACTTCTTCGTCAACCTGTTTTCGATTAATCGGTAAATTTTATCGTAAATTTTCATTTTATTATTAAAAAAAAAAAAAAAAAATCTGTTGTTGACAATTTTTATGTTTTTTATTGACTTTTTTTTAAGTAAATTTTATTTAATTTTTTTTTTCTTTCATCCATCCACTTATTATTATTATTATAAGAAGAAGGAGAAGGAGAAGAAAGAAAAAATTAAATAATAATGATGATGATGATGATGATGATGATGATGAGTGTGAACCTGTTTCTTTTAAATTTAAATTAATATTTAACCTAAAAAAAAAAATTCAAACTCGATGATTGATTGATGACCGTAATAAAAAAAAAAATTGTTTATTAGTATTTATAAGTTCTCCCACGCACGCACACACGCACTCACACATTTAATCATTCCCTCTTTCTCTCTCTCTCTCTCATTTAAATGTGTGTAAACATTTTTTTCGTGCGTGAGTGCGTAGACATCATCATAACTTCACACAACCTTAGGAAATATACGCGGAATTTTTTTTTTTTTTCGGTTTATTTATTTTTAATGAGTTTTCCCCCCTCTCTTGTCCCCCCCCGCGATCCGACATTTTGAAAAAAGAAAAAGTTTTTAGTAATAATAATAATAATTTTATAGAAAGTTTTAAGTTTTTCATTACGTAAAATAATACTTTCTAATTTAATATTGATGACGTGTAAATAATTAAAAAAAAAAAATGTCATAGAGTATTTAAACGTTTTCTTTTTTTAGCAAAATATTTAACTCCCCTCCTCCCCCTGCCCCCACGTTTGCACCCAATTTTTATAGAAATTTTTTTTTGGGAAAAAAAAAAATATTATTTAATTTAATATATATCACGCTGGGGGCCCCACGGGTGTCATTTTTTTTTTTTTTTTTTTAATTTTAACCTTAAAAAATTTAATTTACTGAAAAAAATGAAAAATGAAAACTTTATTATAAAATTATTATTATTATTTTCTTTCACTTAATATTAGAAATTTTTTTTTTTTTATAATCGATGATGATGATGATGATGATTTTGTGGCGACAGACGATTAAAACGCGGGGAGGTGTGTGAACGACGAGGGTCATTCAATAGTAAAAATTTTTTGAAATGGTTTCGTTAAGAAAATCATAGACAACCTTATCTATGACAATGTGATGGCAATTTTTTTGTTGTTGTTGTTCAAATCACTAAAACTGTCATTTTAACCGCAAATGAAAACGTTCCATTATGAATAACTTTGGCCACGATGATAATAATGATGATGATGATGATGATAACGTTACATAAAATGTGTGATTTGAAAAAAAAAAAACCGCAAACGTCACGATTTAAACGTTTTCAATGTGGAAATATATATAAAAGAGGTGAAAAATTAAAGAATGAGCAGAAGACAAAAATGTTTTAAAGTTATTTGAAAATTCGTTTGCATCTTTTCCACCTGTTTTTTCTAGAAAAGTCCATCAATCGAAATAAAAAAAAAATTTTTTTTTTTTGTTGGAATCATTAAAAATCGTTTTAATAAAAAAAAAAAAGAAAAAAGACAGAACTAAGCTAAACAAAGACGAATTAGATTTTAAGAAAATGTTTTTTTCATAAATTTAAAGAAGTTTCCAATTAGTTGTTGGGTCCGTCCCTCTTGTCCTACCGTATTGACTCAGCATGGGGCCCCAAAGTTTCTCATAAATCACAAAAAAAAAAACTTTACCCGTGATCATTAACTGCCCTCGGTTTTGAGACAAAAATTACCTTTTTTCTCTCTCTCTCTCTATGTATCTCTCTCTCTCTCTCTCTCAATATCCCGATGTTAATGACGGAATATTTTAAATCTCCTAGTTTGCAGGTTTTTTAATATCGTTTAAAAAATTAATAGAAATCATAATTCTTTGAAAAGAATGTTTTTTTTTTTTTTTGAATTCATTTAATTTCTGACAATGGAAAAACGAGGACTCCCCCAACCCCCACCCCCACCCTTTCACGTTATTGTAAATTTATTTCGGGAGGCATTTTTTTTTTTTTTTACGGTTGGTATGAAAAAAATTTTTTTAAAATTAATATCTAATAGAAAACCTGACATTTTTTAAAAATATTATTATTATTATTATTATTATTATTATTAGAGGCGATGAATTTTTAATCAAACCGGAAGTTTAATTATAATAAATTGTAAATTTTTTTTTTGATGTCAATCAATCATTTCTTGTATAATAATAATAATAATAATTTAATAAAATGATATAATTTAAAAATGTATATACGATGGTTTTTAAAAGAGTTTGAAGGCTAAGGAAGATGAGGAGGAGGAGGAGAGAGAGAGATAGATAGAGAGAAAAAGAGAGAGAGAGAGATAAAAGCGGCAGCACAAGAGGAGGCTAGTTTTTGTGGTCTTTTTTTTTTTTTTTTTTAAATGAAATTCTCCATTAAATTCCAAATTTATGAGATTTCTATAATAAAAAACCATATGGGCTCAAGGTAATAGAGTTTTTCTTTTTCTTTTTCTTTTTTTTTTTTTTTTCTATTCACTTTCCAGAAATATCATGTTCATAAATTTTTAAATTATCTAAAAT